AGTCATAGCTTGTCTAAAAAAGATTTGCATTCTGAAATGCTTCCGGTTTTGTTTCAGGACTGTACAAGAAATCCGGCAAGTTAGTATTTCTTGGCCTGGACAATGCTGGCAAGACGACACTATTGCACATGCTTAAAGATGACAGATTGGGACAGCATGTGCCAACTTTACACCCAAGTAAGTTGGTGCTACTCTCTCACACGCACAAAATTCAGGCAGATTATTTACAGACATTTATGTTCACCATTTTAAACAATCCACTGTTTAATGGGTATTAGCTGTAAGTATACTGTAACATTCTGCTAATACAATATTTTGGTAATATATTGTCTCAACTATATCAAGCCAGTATCAGTGACTTTTGAGCTGTCTGATTTTTCAGATTTGTTCATGACAATTTTCTATCATCTTTCAGCCTCGGAAGAGCTGACGATTGCTGGCATGACTTTCACCACCTTCGACCTTGGAGGCCACGCACAAGGTATGTTTGTGTATAGTAATGATTGAGATATTAGCAGTTGTCTTTTTAGGTGATTGCAATTTGTTTGTTTTGCTAACATAAGGCCAAAAGGATATATCACAGTGGTGTCAGTGATGGCAAAATGTGTCCAACATAAGTAGACAGACCAGACCAAACAATGTTTGTTTTTTTATTTGTTTGTTGCTTCACACAGCCCGCAGAGTGTGGAAAAACTACCTCCCTGCCATCAATGGCATTGTCTTCCTTGTGGATTGTGCAGACCTCACCAGATTGGCTGAATCAAAAGCAGAACTTGATGTAAGTACCTGTTAGGTTTCTGTCGCACTGTGGAAATGCATAGAAATAACTTTTTTCTTTGATATTTACGGCACCAAAAGCATAGCAGCAAAGTTGAGATAGTGGTAGGTTAGCTGTTGTAATAATTTACAGTGAAATTGATCGATTGTTGTCTGTCTTGTGAATTCTTCTAAATCTGTGGCTTGTTTTGCTCAAGGGAAATACTGCTGACTCAAGTAAGGTATTGCAGAAGTAAGAAGTAATTAATATCAGTATTTAGTGGTATAGTCCTGATGCAGTATTCAAACCGCCTTTTAAGTTAAACAAAATTGCAATGGTAACTATTGTGAAGTTCGTTAGTTGTTTAATATTACACATAAAGGCAAAATATACAGATGAAAAGTAAATTTTTGTAAATTGATCAAGCAGGTACAGCTCATCAAAGCACAAATGACTGACCGGCTTTACTATATGTTAGCCCTCTAGTAGAAGTAGAAGTCAATTACAATACTCACAAAGTCATTCCTGGAAGGCACTAAATATCATTGAAACATCACAGTTTGATGATGTGTAACATGGGTATCTGTGGTATCTGTGGTATCTGAGGGTTGTTGTCTTAAGGATAAAAATGAAAGCAATTCTACTCTACTTTTCCAGGCATTAATGACAGACGAGACCATCGGAAATGTGCCTATCCTGATCCTGGGCAACAAGATCGACAGACCAGAGGCCATCAGCGAGGAGAAGCTGAGGGAACTTTTTGGATTGTACGGACAGACGACAGGCAAGGTGAGTCAGCACGGCCGGTACCACTGCATGAAGATCAAATGTTGGACTATGGGAAGAACGCATTTTCCCATGGTCCAAAAGTAATTCAGTTAATGTGTCAAACGGGCTCACGTCCCTGCAGTTGTATACCAAACGTCAAGATTATGTTAGCAAGGTAAATATTATCTTGCAGGAGTTCCCTTCTTAACCTGTTTGCCAAGTTAAAAGCAAATTAACATAAGCCGTTTTACATATTTACATATTTAAAACATGCCTTTAAACCCAGACCTCACTCTTGAACTCCTCGCAAATTACGACTCCAAACTCACCACACCACAAGAGTTTCTGGCACAGATTAGAGTGGATAAGGTGTTGCTTAGGACTTCGGGAAGTGCAATTTTCAACCTTTTTTCTTATCCTTTGTCTAAAGGACGGAATGACTATTACTGTATTTTCTCTGGAAAAAATAAGAAAGTACGTTCAGAGTGACTTTTTTTCCTGCTTCTCTCTCAGGGCAACATTCCCATGAAGGAGCTGAACACGAGACCACTGGAGGTGTTCATGTGCAGTGTGTTGAAGAGGCAGGGCTACGGTGAAGGCTTCCGCTGGCTCTCCCAGTACATAGATTAAAGCAGCTAAGCCCTGTAACACCACCACCACCACCACCACCATCGGGGGGGGGGAGGGGGCGCTAAACCCAACCACTCAAGACGCCCACCATTGCCACCAGTACCATCATACTCAGCCCCATGTTTGATTAAACAAGTCTGCCTCCATCTTCAGAGAAACCAGTACAACTTGATCCCAATAGACTTTTATTGGTCGAACATTTGGTTCCACACTTACAGAATTCATACCTGTATGCGCGCACACACTCGTTTCCATCTCTGTCCTTTTCTAAGAGAGTAACATAGCATTGGTTCCACGCAAAGGGTGTTAAAATTCAAACAGATGAGTCTTTTCTATATTGTGTCTGTCATTTGCTGCCCTCTCCCCCACCCTTCCTGCCATCTGTTGAGTGTGATATAGATGCATTATAACTGTAAATCTGTATATGATTCCATTGGTATATCAACAATCCCTGATGCCTCTTTCCCCTCTTCAACTCATTTTGAGCAATGAGAAAGAGAGCAACATAGTTGTATACATTGCAGTACACTTTTTTAACAGTAAAGACATTCATTCCACATTGTATTTAATCAGTGCGTTTTTGGTTTGTCCTGTTTTTTGTTTTTTTCTTTTACATTTCAGTAAATTAAATGTGTGGCCATGTATACAGCCCTCACTATAGGCGCATGGCTGTCTCACCCATTTATGAAAATGGACCAGTGCATTTATCTTAGTGTGTCAGAAATTAAATCCATTTCTTTAGGTTACTTGGAAGTTAAAATACTTTTGTTCCAGACTTCTATCTCATGGCCACAGTACCATTGAATGGATCCAAGTAGTCTGTGGGCTCCCCTTTTTTAGAGAAGCATGGGGTGGTAGTATAGCAGATGGGAAAAGATTTTTAATAGAAAATAATACTGGCTATAACCCAGGCGAGGTTTGATAAAATCGTGTAGACAGCACAAGGGTCAGTTGATGCAAAGAAGACTATTTAAGTAAATAAAACTTAGGGATGAATGGCTTGATAATAACATTTAGTAAGAGATGAAGGGATGAGTAAATTGATGGTTGTAAGATCTAGTAATCGTCAATATTAGAAGTCCATCCTACCGATGTATTTTCCAGCGCAGACCTTTTTACAAGGTTAATCTAGTGACCAAGCGTAGATAACGGAGGACACAGTCCCACAGCGGGAACAGGTAGATAGGCCTAAGACACCTCTAAGAAAGGGACCATATATATGAAATGTACATGAACACCGTACATGGATTTTGTATTTATAGTGGTATCCTTTGATCTATGTGCATTACCAGAAACTATTATGCATGCCTTGTTCTTTTGATTTTTAACTTACCATTATTCCAGAGAGTACAACAGGAGGGAAAAAGATGCCAAAATTTACAATGAGAGCTGATTGTCATGTTTTGTTTTTTTTTTAAACGGAAACAGTGGAATTGCGCTTAATACACATTTTTTTCTGTTCCTGTCCCTTTGTGTCTCTTTCATTCCCTCATTGACTACGTGATGAGCTGTTCCAACAAGGGTGGGACTCGCTGTTGTTTGCATCATAAAAAATGTAATAAATGTTTTCAATGAATAACAGGCTTTAACATTGATCCACAATGCAGACTGATTTTGTGACTGATTTTCACTTTTCTTTGGTCAGATCAGCTGTGGAAGAAGTATTCGGCTCCTTTCATTTCATAAAAGTACCAATACAACAGTACAAAATTACTCTAATTCAAGCAATTCCTGCATTCAAAAAGTAAAAGTACAGAAGTTTCAGCAAAATATAACAATATTCATTATGCAGAAAAAGTGCCCGGTTACATATAATATGTACATGACCTTATTAGATATTGGATATTAATATTGATGAATCAATGCATAAACAACATTTTATTGCTCGCTGATGAATATGGAGCTAGTTTGAACTACTTTACATACAGTTTGGTAGTTGGGTGCAGTGGTTTCCAACCTAGGGGTCGCACACCCTCCAGTGTCCAAAGAGGGTAGGAAGAGGAAAAGAACAAACTTCTGCTGCACCAACATGTATTCTTGTTTTGGGATATTCATTACCTTTGTTTTTTGTTGTGAAATATTGAAGTGTTCAACATCTTTACGCTTCAAACTGTTAGGAGGAGAAATCACTTGTTGGAACTGGTACCTGATGGACATCTGAAACATGACATGGAGCTACTATACCGCTATAAACCACTAGTTTAATCTTCAATAATGCATTGTATTTTGTATGATTATGTCTTAATCTGAAAAGTAGCCAAAGTAGTAACACCTGTCAATTAAATGTAGTGCAGTGAAAAGTACAATATTTCCAGGTGAAGTAAAAAGTAGCATTAAATAGAAATACTAGTGAGAACAAGTACCTCAAAATTGTACACAAGTACTTGAGTAAGTACACTTTCCACAACTGGGTGAGATGACTTTAAGTCTCTTGATCTGACAGAAATATCTACATTAGACAATTGGAGCAGGATTACATGTCAACAGTTAACTGGAGGTTACATAAAAAGCATATTGGCACCATATAATTTAGCTTCAATACAATCACTGTACTATAAGGCCACTGGGTGGTGCACGTGACATGGAAAAGTGTATTTTTAGGAGTGCTGTACAATTTATCTTCATTCGTCAAATGAATGCCAGTTAATAATACTTTAGTATGAACAACAACAAAGGAGTTCTTCAGAATAGATGAACAGTATTGCTGAGAAGATAAAATCTTTTATCCTGCCCTCAATTTCAAACAAAGCACAGGTGTACCATTGTCGTCTAAAAGGACCATACTATTGGTTTTATCCTAATAATTAACTGATGCTGTCAACAATTTTTTAAAGCATCCCATGCATTTTCTTTTTATTCTTTTTATTATTTAAGTTCTTTACAGCCATTGCTTTCATTTTAGTATTGTACAAAAATCACTCAGATTTTACAGCAAATGCAGAACTGCAGTCGATTGGTCAGTTGGTGTCACTGTTTCTTTCCAACATTTCCCTTTCCAGTCACAAAACATGAATCCAATAGTATTTTACAGCCAGTATTAATCCTTGAATGTTGAAGGTTCCTTGAATGCACCACAAAGAGATTTTAAGTATTGTCCTTGCTCTAACTTAATATGAAATATGTAAGCTTTTCACTGCCTCTCAAGCACATTTGAAATCTCTGCAAGTAGATTTTCAAACAGTACTGAACTGAACCAAAATGCAACAGAAAGACAGGAAATAAATCTAAAAACTTACGCTATGAATGAATATTTATCAGTAGTCTGTAATTCATGAATACTTGGTTCTACAGGAAAAACATAGGCGAACATAGCCCTTATACCTCTTCTCTTTCACATCAGGACTGTGTTTATATAGTCTATGGGTCATCCACAGAGTCCATGTCTTTCCCATGCTCATGACAGCACTCTCCAGTTAGCATATCAGCCATGCAGACTCCCACAGCGAGCAGCGGTGAGAAGACAGCCAGGACAACAGCCAGCAGCAGATGCCCACAAATGCCGCAGTAATGCTTCTTTCCCTGAGCTGCTTCTGCATCTTCCCCCCCGTCTTCTGGGGCTCTGGGTTTGGGCTGAGGTCCAAGACATTGGTGGTGGGTGTCGGAAATAGTTTGTGACCCCTGTAGTTGTCCTGGCTGAGGCGCAGTCTGGATAGACTTCATACTGTCTGTGTGGCCGGAGAAAGTGTGGTTGTTCGGTAAAGTTGACAGGTTGGAGGGGGTTGTGGAACCTTGAGCACCTGAGTATGCAGCTCCCTGGCCTGGATGAGGGGCTGGGGGTGTCCCTGGGCAGGCTACATTGGTGAAGTTTTCTGTTCCTTCCACGAGTGGAGACTGGCTTGGCATGATACAGGAGCATGTGAAGAATCTCAGCTAGTTGGATGGTTGTAACAGAAAAGACAGTTATTTAGGGGAAAAGATAAAAGTGAGAACCATTACAGAACAAATGAGATCTTAAAGCATCAAACAAAAACACCTATGGGTGGTTAATTTTTATATATAGGTAATAACTGAAAATATTAACATGACGTGATATACAAAGCACTGTTAAATACAAGAACAGTTATCCCGTAAGTTACCCTACCTCAGTGTGTGTTTCTTGTGTGAAGTCTTGTGTCAGCTCTGCAGAGGAAACCAATGCTGCTTGTCCTCCTTCACAGGGATTTAGGGATATGTGACCCCAGAGGAGGTGACTTCCTATTACCGGTAACTTTGCCACACACCTCTCTTCTCACTTCCAATCAGCTTTCAAGACACCTCAACTAAGCCACAACAATACGCAAGAAGTTCCCAAGAAGTGAACCGACATCTATGGTGCCTGTTTATTCCCATCAGACGGAAATGCAATCTGATATTTCTTAGCCATCTAATGGTAAATGGACCTGTACTTGTATAGCACCTTTCTAGTCTTCCGACCACTCAAAGCACTTTTACACTACTACTAATTGACCCTTTCACACACATTCACTCAGTGATGGCAAAGTCCATTGAACAGAAACTAACATTCATACAAACTCACAGACCGATGCACGGCATCGGGAGCAATTTGAGGTTCAGTATCTTGCTCAAGGATACTTTGACGTGGGGCACCAGGAGCCGGGGATTGAACCCACAGTCTTCTGATTAAGGAACAACCCGCTCTGCCTCTGAGCCACAGCCACCCAATACAAGTACAGGTCCATTTACCATTTACCATTTACAGCAGCAATAAGGCAAAGTAGTGCAAAAAAGTGGTAAAAACTGGTAGTTGTTTGGTGAAAGGTGAAATGTACAGCCTTGCTTTTGCAACTGGATCTCAAATAAGGATGGAGATGAACAATTTAGTTTAGTTAATGGTTTTGTCTTGTGAAATTATTTTAAAAGGACTAATCAGCATTTTCAGAATCGTTTGCTCATTTTTATGGTTGTTACAACACTTAACAAAATTAATTCAAATGTTTTTGGACCTCACATCCAAACATTCACAAACCTTCCCTAATACACACCGAGATGTTGTCTTTATGTGTATCTTCTTTTGAATAAATGTATTTCCTCACTCCTTACGTTCATCTGCAAAACTATAACTAAAACTACTATCTTTAACATTTAAATAAGCCTTCAACCCAGTCCTAATGCTACCCTCATTCTTAAACCCATAGTGTAATCTAACCTCTTGAAGAAGTGGGTTGAGGGAAAAATTATGTCACATTACTAAAAATGTCACTGTCACAAGCTAAAAGTGTTGACATAACAAGTCCACACACACACACACACACACACACACACAGAGAGAGAGAGAGAGAGAGAGAGAGAGAGAGAGAGAGATATCCTAAATATTTAAACAAAATTAGCACAAACCAAAGATGATGGTGATAAAAAGTCATGATAAAAGTGTAACAATGTGTGACTACTGTGGCCTAACATTCTGGTTTATTGGTTTCTGCTGTTTGAATTTTGATCTCTCTCTAAGCAACAGAGAAGCAAAAGGGATATTTAGTCATATCAAAGGTCACAGGTTCTTAAAGGTCAGAGGATTGTGACTGTAAGGAGCTGAAAACAGCCGACTAAAACGTACTTAAACAGAACAATTCATAACTGTATTCTCCTGTAGTACCTTCAGTTTTAGTTTCTTGAGTGTGTTATAGCTATGAGGCTGAGCCAATGGGACTGTCATGAGTTTTGCCAAGTATTGTCAAGTCAAGTCAGTTTAATGTACAGTATTTAGCCCAATGTCAAAAATCACTAATGTGCTTCAAGAGGCTTTACAGTCTGTCTTTAACAGGGAAAAAATTGAAGAAACCTCAGGAAGAGGAGGAGGAGAAGGAGGGAGGAATCCCTCTTCCAAGATGGACAAACATGCAACAGATGTCGTGTGTACAGAATAGATCAACATAGAAAAATTACAGCATAGAAAATAAACATTAAGAACCTAATAGATGAAATTTCAGAGGATCAACAAAATTATTACAAATCCTGATGAGGGACATGAATGTGTATATCAAATTTCCTGGGAATCCATCCAATAGTTGTTAAAATATTTTAGTAAAAGCCAAAGGTGTCTCCCAGCTGATGGTACTACAGGACAAATAACCAAATGGCTTCATCATCACTGACCATGAATGTCTGTGCAAAATGTCATCGCAGTCCATCACGCAGTTGTACATTTTTGAGTCATAGAACAAAGTGGTGGACTGACTGACCAACTTTGCCATGCCTACAGCCACACCCCTAGCATGGCTAAAAAAATTCCCCTGAAATGTGAGTAAGCGGAAATCCACATCAATACCTTTATTTATAGTGCTTGAACCTGACATAAAGAATTTCCCCCTGGGAGCCGAAGCCCTCGCAGTCCTGAGGCACTTTCAATTTATAGATTGAATGTTGCGAGTGCAGCTATATTCAGCTGGAACAGTTCTTATAAATCAGGCAAATGTACAATTTGAAAAAATGACTTGAGATGAAGTAGAAAATTCAATCACAGGACACTTTAACATATGAGGGCCCATGGGTCCTCTGCTCACAGTCATTAGGTTCACTTTATCAAGACTCTCAGAGCAGACAGGAGTACTGATTTAAGAATATTAAACACCAGCAACTAAACACTCATTCATTCAAGATGGAAGTCTTCACTGACATTAAGATTAATGTTTTATATTTAAGCTTATTGATAATATGTGGAAGAAATGGATGAAAAATCTTAAAATAAAAATACATCTTTAGATTCTTCAGCAGAAATCAGTGTCTCTATTCTGATCAAGACACTGTCGACTAGAACCATTTTACTTTGAAAGTATAATAACCATTATTTTGAAATCAGAAAGATAGTTTCGGGAATCGTTTTAATGTGTCACCAGTTTGAAGAGGATGAAAATGGTCATGTCTAGTTGCATTACTTTAAGGAAAAACTACACAACAAATACAATAGAAGTGCCAGTAGCGGTACTTGTTCAGTAATAACACTTGTGGTAGTGGTTTAGAGACCAGAGATTTGCTCACCTTTTCTTACTGCTTGACTATATGAGCTGGTGGAAGTCAGCCTTTGTCTTTTACTTTTGTAAAATAAACTTATTTTTAGTTCATGTGTGTCCTCCTTTCCTATGGACAGCCTTGAGCCGAGACGAATCTCATTCATTGAGACTCAAACAGAAAGAAAACAAAAGAACTTAGAAACACACACACAGATGATATGATAAACACTTTTATTGTTTGGGTACTTCTAAGAATAAAAGCCGGGATCAGATAAATGGGGTGAGGAATTATGTCAGAGATGAATATCTCTTGTGAATTCGACTTCCTTGTTATTGAGAAAAGAGTTGGATGCTGTGAGCACGGGTGTTTACGTGTTCACAGTATCAGGGGCATTCAACAGAAGGGTGAGGAAGATGTCAGTAAATCACAGTCTGTACACGCCCACACATTCCTGAGAAGAGGTTTAATCAGGCAACATGAGTGAAAACACCTGTGTGGGTAGATTATGGATTATTTTAGGGCAATAAACCTGCAAAATATAGTAACTACAGCTGTCATGTAAATGTAGTGGAGTTAAAGGTACAACATTTGCTTCTGAAATAAAGGATAAATTAACTTGTAAAAAAAAAATCTAAATTAAGTCTTTAATTTTCACATTTAGAAGGAACAGTACAGGTTGAAATAATGACATCAATGATAAGACCTTTCCATTTGAGTGTACCAGTAAGTCCTGCCGGTGAGACAGCATGTACATAACAAATGCGTAGATTATATGCAGCCATTATTAATGTTCAGTGGTGGAGGAAGTATTCAGACCCTTTACTTAAATATAGTAACACCATGATGTGAATTATACTCCATAACAAGCAAAAGTCTGCACTCAAAAATAAGCTTATCATATGTTTTGCATGTAAAATCTTAATGTGCATACGAACGAATACAGTGGAATATATGTACATTTCTCTCTGAAATAACACAGAATCAGGGCCTAGAACTATGAAACAGCATAAACAGGACACACACAAGTAAAGTACATCAACATTTATACATGAACTTTCTGTTAGTGTTATTAAACCTTCTACCCAAAAAGCAAAAGAAGATTCTTGCAATAAAATTAATGTCAATTTATTGGATTTTAATGTATGTGTGTTTTGTAAATATATTATTTATTATCTGTCTTTTGAATGTCAGATTATTAGCTAATTTTGGAAAGACTTTGGAAAAGCCTCGCTCTTTTTGACATGAACTGTGATAACCTTGTTTTATTTTTTATTTTTGATCTTCTTTTTCACATCTGTTATATTATGTCACTGATGTTGCTTCATTTGAGCTCTGCTCTTTGATTGTATGAAACTAAGAGTTCAATAAAGATCATTTTTTAATCCATTGCCCTGAAGTAGGCCACAGTACTTGAGTAAATGTGCTTTCTCTCACTTTCCAGCTCTTTTGTAATGGTATTCAGTTACCTTGCCATCTCTTCCTCTGTATTCATTGACTTCATTAAAATCTGTGAGACAGCCTCCCCCTAGATTGCAACGTGTTATAATGGGCGTGTGTGGTCAAACAGGATATTGCAGCCCTGCAGTCATGTCAAGGCTACCGAAGAGAAAACCTGGTGAAGTTGACATCCTTTGATTAGTATTAAGTTAGATTAGGCTAATAGGTGTATCAGCCAGTCAGGTGGTCACTGCCACATCACTATTAAACTATGAATATCAAAATAAAAGTTAAGCCAGGCACACTGTGGCTAATCAGCTCTCGGGAAATTAATGCTCTTTGCCTTCATGAAGGAAAGGAGAATGGCCTTCTTCATCTTCAAATAATATGAGTCGAAATGTCCTTTTTTCTCTGTTTTTGTTGGACCTCCTGTGTTGTCCTTACGGTTTAATGGCCCGCCTTGGCTGTGTGTTTTTACTTGGTGTGTAAAAGGCCTTAACAGTTAAGTTAGTTGATCTTATGGAGGTGATGTTGCTCAAGTGTACTGTGCCTTGTTTGCCTGGACATTGATGGACATTGACTTTGTTGACTTTTAGTGTGTGATTGGGTGTGAATGCGGGATTTTTTTAACATAGAAACTTAAGTCACACATCAGTTTATTGCTATGTAGTTTAGACCAATTTTGCATCCTTCATCTACTTTTCCACTCTTCTAGCTATTCATAGTCACTCCTTTACTTTTTCCAACTCATCTACTCATTCATACTTTCAGCTAGAAACTCAATACTAACCTTAAATTGTTCCACAACTTCCATACATTACGAGTTTTATTCAACTTTGTAATCCCATTCATACTAATTATACCCTTTCCCACTTTTCCCTGTTTTCCCACTTAAAGCCAGCA